GTCTCCTCCATGATCCTCTACAAAGTGTGGTACAATTCAGATGCCTCTGGCTTTCACTGTCTGCTGATAAGAGCATTGCAACTCCTTTGAGATAACAAGCACAACACACGGAATTATGGTCCAAGAATGTTTCTGAGTTGCCTGGAAACTTCTAACTTATTGTTAGCCTGTGAAAAATATTCCAAAGGAAACCCCCATCTCTGGCCTGGTCTCATCGTCAACTCTTTGTTGTGCTGGAAATAAAAAGGAGTGGCTCTACTTCCTAAATGAAGAAAAGGATTTGGAAAATGGCGTAGAGTGAGAAGGATCAACACCAGATGTTGCTCTTGGCCAATGTACCATATTTGTTGGCATTAAAGTAGTTCTTAAAAAAGTTATCTCCTGCCCATCCCTGAAACAAGGGAAATGAGAAGGCGTGGCACATCAGAGCCCGGAATCTTAGCAGAGGCCAGAGAAAAGCAGGTCTGTTATGAAGCGTGGAAGACTGGGTTTGTTACAAAAACCGGTTTGATTGGAGCCAGAACTCACACTGGTTTTAACACTGGTTTTAACACCATGTGTGTCTAAGCTAAGTGTGTGGGACCAAGCCGGGTGGGAGGGTGGGGGTGGAGGCAGACAGGGCTTGAAAATGGACTCTGGACAAAGTGTCACGATTTTTTGCTTTTCATAATATATAAACAGAGGGAAAGATAATTGATACTGAAATAGCAGAAGGCTGCTAGCAATTCTGTCAGCTCTACAGAGGAAGAACTGGTATTTGGCCAAGCTATGGAAGGGCTGAGGACCTAGAGGCTACCCCACTGTCCTGGAGTCTAAGAAACTTTTCCCTCCCAACACCAAAACCATTCAATGGATGGCAACGGCACAAGTTCACATGAGTGGCACTTACTGGGGAGAACTTGAAGTTGAGTCCCTTTTCCAAAGGTGATTCTGTAAGTATTTTGTGCACACTGTGACGGGGACCATAACAAAAACTCTGAGGACCCTTTTCGGGAAAGCCACGCATCCCATGATAGATATTTCACCTTCACGGGACTTAACAAATTTTCCACACTGCCTCCTCCACTATAATAAACAGGTCTCGTTATCTGCTCAGCCATCTTTCTCCGAGTCTCCTGGTTGTTTTTGTTTGATTTTTATGCTGCTTATTGCAAATGCGCAGAAAGGAAATTGGATGACCTCATTTGACACCGAAAGTGAATTATAAAAGCAACAATTTAACAAACTCCTTTGATATCAAACACAATCCTGTTACTACAGGCAAAAAAATGGTTGGGCAGACAGCACCAAACTAGAAATTCACTCTTCAGAATAAGAAGAAAGAAGGGGAAAGGAAGGACCCATGTCAGACACGCATCTGAATTTCCACCTGAGACACAACTGCACATGGAGCCCTCACTCACCCTCAGTTCTAGAGTTGCCGAGCTCCAAACCCTCAAGAGGGTTTTCATCTCCCCTTAGGCCACGCACACATTTGCTGAATTTTCATAGCCCTGCCCTACCTGGGGGAGTGAGCGCATTCATTTTGGCCCAAAGGGATATGTTCTCCTTCCACAGTCCACAGATGTGGGATCTCACCACCAGAGATGCAAACTTTTCCTACCTTTGTCCTAGATGACGAAGCCCCACACACTCCTCCACACTGCCGACTTGTTTCCCCAAATGCTCGTGATTGCAGTCATGTTTATTAGAACTAAAGAGAACTTATGGGGTCATTCCACTTATTTTCTTGTCTCTGAGCATTTCCCACTGCTAAACTATTAAAAAATGGACAATTCTGTTTTGTGGATCCTTGGTCATTCTTTGGTATCCCTTATAATCCACTACAGGGTTTAATAAGCCAATCAGTCAACTCGACTCACCATCCTCTTACTATTATTTTTTGACAGACCTTTGGGTGGACCCGGTTGTCCCCAAAATGTCACTGTGGAGGAACTGAAGCCTGAGGTACACTCTCAGGAACCCCGAATTCCATATTTCCCTCCCTTCCAATGAAATATGTTTAAAAAGTTTTTAATCCCCACGAGGAACCGGTCATTAAACAAAAACCTTGTCATCATGCTGCCATTTCATTTCACACTGAACTTTCTTTCAGGTGTTTATAAAGCCATCTGGGGTTGTTAATTCATCACTAAATTGTTTTCTCCTCCTTTGCATTTGAATAGTAAATCTGAGATTTTAGCGAAATTTGACATGTATGGGACTAGAGGTGGACATTTGTCAAAATGGGATAATGTTCGGGTTTTCTATTAGATATTTTAGAATAAACACTATGCAGGCATGAGAGACAAAGAAGGAGACTTATACATATTAGCAGCATTTAAAATGAGATAGATTCTCATTTTTAACAGAACTGAAGACAAGTTCTGTGGGCAAAATCACAGTAAACACACAAATCATACAGAATATAGTTTAAGGGATACTGTGGCTGTAAATAACTCAGGGCCCTGATGTCTCTCTGGAAGAAGAAAAGCTGAGCTTCCATACAAAAGGCACATTGGGATGGCCTCACTTTGCATCCATTTATCATGATCGCTCTATTCTTTCTCAACCATCTAGAATGTTTCATGCATTTGCAAAAGTCAATTTTCAAAAGGTAATTTGTTTGCATATTAAAGTCCCTACTAACTTCATAGAATTTACTGGTTTGGTCAACTATAAATGGATCATGGACACTTACCGGGCCTAACCACCAGCTGGGTTCCAGTTCCAAAGAAGTATCTGTTATTGTTATTCCCACAGCATTTCCTGCCTTTACTGAAACCCCAAGTAAAGTCTCACTAAACACATGGCACGAGGGTGAGGGAGATTGGACTTGGATTTTTTTTTCCTGTGTCTCTGGAAATTGGCCTTTTATGATATGAAGAGAAAAACAGATTCTGCTAAATAATGCAAACCATTTTTTTTAAAAGCCCAGAGTTACATGTTTGAAAAAACAAACAAACAACCTTTTTGCATTTCTAGGCTTAAATCCATCAAAACAATCAAATAACTTGTGAACAACTCTTGCTCTCCTGTGTGGGCTCGCTCACAGGTCTGAAGGGATGGTGCATTCTTAGATCCTCAGGGATGTTTTTCAGCCCTATTGCCACCTGAATGCACATCCACACTCCCCCAAACCCCACGGTCCTGTCCCTTCTTCCCCGGTGATGTTATTTCAAAGCTTTCTCACTTTGTAATAGCGACAATGTGGTCTAAGAAAATATTTCACAAGGGAAGAATGACAGAGACAAACAGCCCTATCTTTTCCTATAGAAGTTCTACCATGGACTCATGATGTTTGGAACAGAAAAGGGCAGGGAGTGATGACACACCATCTCCCACAACCCTAAGGAAATAATGTCTGAAAAAAAATGGAAGAAGCAAACATTTTCTGTTATAAGAAAGGTTGTATCCTGCAGGCAAGGATGCTAGCACACAAGAGTACTTTTATCACAAGGATGAGCATTGGCTGGGCTCTAATCTACACTAAGTATGAAAGGAGAGTGATGGGGTGGGCATCCCAGACGGTGATATGGTCTTGGGTACAAATGGAGCGTGAGTGACAGAGAAGGAGACTTGATCGCCTCAACTTGACTGTGAATAGTTGATTCTTCAGATTTGAAGAGAAAGAGTTCAAAACATTTTCTCTCTTCTCAGCTTGGGAGCTCTTGGGGTGCAGAAGATGCCCAAAGGACACATTTTAGGGAATGAGAAAGGGGAAGCAAATGCAGGAAGTATACGGAGTGTTACAAGGCTCACGGTTTTGTAACACTGACATAACGTATTCTGAGCCTCTTCGTTGCCCTCCCCTTGCACCGGTTCTGCCTGACTCTTAACGATTTCCCCAAGTATAGCTCTGCAGTCTCTTTTGGAAGAGTAAAGAAGACATGGACAGTAGAAGAAAGTGCTTGGACCAGGTGCAGTGTTCTGTAGACAGGCTAAAAGAGGTGGTGTCTGCACAGGTAAAGGTATGACCAGAACTGATCAATGATGAGGAAATAAGATTCCCAGAGCAGAAAACCTGTGGCATTCAGATGAGAATAGTTTCCTAGCCTATTTTTTATTTCCCATGGTGTAGTTTAACGTTATTAGCACCATCTCCCTTTCTCTGGCTGCGGTGTGCCATCCAGGAGAATGGGCACCCTGCCTTGTAGGGTCAAGAAGGGGTGACCATGGGGGAGTTAAATCAGCCTTCATTCCTCCTTTTCCCCATACAGTGACTATTGCGTCCTGCTATGCACATACTTGGCTTGACATAAACACCCTCTACTCACGTACTTGGCTTGACAGAAAGCAGAGTGCCAGTCCCAAAGATGAGCTTGTTTGCAGCACCTCCATAATTCACACAGCCCTTCAGAGCCTTACAGTAACCCTCAGGAAGGAGCATGACAGGAGGGGTGGGGATGGGCTCAGTCTTCCTGGGCTAACAACACTCAGTCCCACCGCTACGAGAACTGACTTGCCAGGGATCCCTTCGGCCTCTATATTCTCCTGATATTCCCTGACACCACCTTTGAGTTGATATCCTGGTTGGGCTTGGCTAAGGCCCAGAGCCCTGGGGGTTCATCAGCAGGTGACTGGGAGCTTTGCAGGCCTCTGCTCCCTACATGGGACAGCAGCCAGAGACAAGAGTGCTGGGACAGCTGCAGGCACAGGACACTTGCTGGTCTGACTGTGGCCCTTTCTCTTTTCTCTGAATTTACTCCTCAGTGGCAGGAGGCTGGTTCTATCCTTAGGAAAGAATTCTAACCATATCAGAGGGAATTAGATATTCCCTAATAATTCAGTTCTTTTCTCTTAGAGGGCTAGGTAAGCATTATTCATTCTAGAAGCAACTAGACCAAACAAGAATGTTGGTAGCTGACATTGCCTCTCACTGGGAGAGAAAACCCCGTTAGGGTCAAGTGCATTGTCTCCAGCAGGCTGGATTGTTCTTAAAAATACAATTTGCATGCAATGCTGTGCATATTATTCAACCCGTGTCTCCTCTCCCTTACAGTCACATCTCTGAGACTTACCTGGCTTTATAATTAGCTTGGTCCCAGAGCCCCAGATCAACTGATAGTTGCTATTCACACAGACACAAAAACCTTAACAAAAACCTTCCCTGTCCTTCTGGGAAACCTATTAGAGATAAACCCTAGATAAAAAGTCCAGAGCACAGCATATAAAACAATGTAGAAATATCGACTATTGAAGATTATTTGCTCATTTAATTACATTTGATTCCCTTGCCCATTACGGATTCCAGACACAGATGATGAAATCGAATGACTAAACATCCAAAGTCAATCTAGGTCTCTCTGCATATAAGGAAGCATAATTCATAAATGGTTTTCAAATTGGAGAAGTTGAACTTGCTTCACCTTCCCTGATATTTTAAATAAAAATGCAAAAGAGAGAAACAGATCATTTGTTTGGAGTCACAATGCATCTGATTCTCTGGTGTCTTATTTTCGCTGCTGATAAGATTCTAGTCAGAACCACAGTGCTCACACATAGCTCAAACTGACTTGGTTTACGGGATGTTCTGTCTGTGAGAAATGGTGTCCCTAGAGAACGTGGACCAAGGCAGCAAGAGGCGGGGGAGGCCCCCACAGAGCTCAGTGTTGAGAAGGGTGGCCTGACGCCTCAGGGGATAGTCCCCAAATGAGTTGGCTGTTTATAAAAAACACTTTTTCAAAATGGCTTCACGGTTTCTAGTGACACTTACTTGGCATGACTTGTAATCTGGTTCCAGCCCCAAAGAAGAGTTTGTCCCTGTTGGAGGACACCGTGATACCAAGGCCTACAAAAACCCCCTGAGCCTGGCAGGATGCTGGGCCTTGACATCAGTTCCCTCTGCTCCCCCCTGACACTGGCAGCAATAACTACCAACAGCAAGGACCTGGGGCTACTTTCAAAACACCAATGCAAGGAGACTGCCAGTTTTTGTTGCGATTAAGTTTCATTCCCTGTAAAGTCCTGTGGCCTCTGCTTATTGTGTTTTCAACTCACAAAGATGACAGCCCAAGAGAATTCGTTCTAAGAAAACAGGGAATCTCAAGCTCTAGCCCCTCCAGCTCGAGCCCCAGTCCTGATTTTTTGGTTTGACTTAAATTATTTAACTTGTCTGTGCTTTGGCTTTTCTGTCTGTGAAATATGTTTGATGATGTGTGACCCTGTTTACCTTATTGAAGAATGTCGAGGAGATCCCAGGGCTGGAGGCGGTGCCCTGGGTTACAACACAGAAACGCCTTCTGAATAATGTGGGGGAAATGCGCCTGTTCAAGCCTCCGAATAGGAGGGACCGTGTTAGCTGAAGCTGATTGTCAAAATAGCTAACAAAAAGCTTTCCTCGTGAAAACTAAAGGAGAATATCTCTCTCTCATGCAATTTTTCACAAGAAAGTTAGGAGACACAATCACTAAATCTGCCAGAAGAGACAGGCCAGGGAAAGGTCAGCTGAGTCCTGAGGTCTCGCAGCCTGGGCATGAGAAGAAATGACCGCGCTCCCATAGCAGCGCAGGAGCATAGATTAGGTTTCCATGACATGCTAATTTCCTTTTGCTGTTGGCATCATTAAGTGAAATCAGTCAAAGCTATTTTTAAGAACGGATTTGCTCATCTTAATGGTTAAACTGGCAGTGCAGCTAGATCCAGAAATGATTTCCCACCAGCGATTAGCTAGGAAATGGGGATTTCCTTTTCAAACTTACATGCCCACAGAAAGGAGAAAAGACACACTTACGTGGTGAAACAAACACTTGAGTGCCGGACCCAAAACGCAGTACACCCCCGGTGCCTGTGTATCCACAATGGCTGACTCTATTACAAAAAACCCTGCCACCTCTTCCAAGCCAGGTCCCAAGGCAGAAGCTAACGTTTCCCAGGTGGGAGATGTTTCAGACACGTGTATCATCAAGCCATGGTGTCCTTACTCCCTGGCAGAACTTCCTCCAGAGAATCTTCCTCATCCTGGGCCAGCTTCAGCCTTCATGCAGGCATCTGGTAGCCCATGGTGGCCACCACCACCTCCTCGGGGGCTCCGCTGGGGTCCACCCACAAGGAGGATTCCCTTAGGTGCCTGAGCCATTGAGGAACACTCAAGGAACTAAGGAATGCCGTGGGAATACAGCTGACAGGTTAAAGAGGCGGGAGGCTGCATGCAGCAGGCATGGTGGCCAGGAATCAAAGGAGAGAGAAAAGGGATAGAGGCATTAGAGATGCAAGGAATTGGTCTGGAGTGGAAGGATCTGAAAAGAAAAGTAAGAAGAGGAGACACACACCAACAGCTGATGTCAAAATTGGTTATGCTCTGTGAGAACACGAGTTCCAGGGGAAAGACATGATCTTGGCTCTGTCAGTTGCCCTGACCTATTTAGTGCCGTTCCCTCCTGCAGCAACCTCTCGCATGCAGCTGAGAAGCCCCACGCTGCAAATGGCGATTACCACCCCCGTCTCATTTCTGTCTCAGAGAGCCTTCTGACCAAGTGTTCTATACGAGGTGCAGGAACAGCAGCCACAAAAAGACACTCAGAATCTGTTTCTCTCTTTCTAATTAGGCTGTCAATCTGTTTAGCTAATAAGTTGTACGAGGTGCCTTAATCTCTTCCAAGGAAAGGAGTCATATAAATGCAAAATAGCAGCAGCAATAAGTCAAATGGCTTGCTGGGTATCTTTTCTTTGTGTGAAGAGACGCTGTTGAGTAGAAGGAAACTTTGTGTGTGGAGAGGAGACAGACCGGGAAAAACACAACAGCATTTGTTTTTATTAGGCTGAGTCTATACGGCACAAAGTAAAACAGATCTGGTAATTATTTAGGTAATGTGACAGTCAATTCAGGCCATTCGGAGCACAAAGGAGTTTTCTTAAGAAGTGCCGAAATATCCAGATCAGTTTCTGACATTAATCAAATTAATGGAACAATTGTGCTGTGTAGACACAAACTAATAAATGTGCCTTGAAATGCTTCTTCCGAAAGGGTTACAGTTTCTAAACCTAACATTAAAACTGTCCAATATTTATGCTCACTCCCTTCATTTGGGCATTGCAGTTGACGTTTCCCATTTTTTTCTTACAACATGTGTCTTCCATCGAGAGCCAGGAAGGTAAGGATGACCTTCTCCTGGGAGAGTCTTATCAGGTTAACACATGGAAGCTCGTTTAGAAATTCATTAGGTGTCTGGGATGTGAGAGCTGGTCATTATAGATTAAGGGCTTTTTCTCAAGTGGTAAAGGACTTACAAGGAATGACGGCGAGTCTCGTTCCAGTCCCAAAGACAAGGCTGCTTGTCCCCAAAGTTGGCACAGTGTTTCTGTTCAGTACAAGAACACTTTGCTGGATTTTCTTTCTCTGCTTCCTCTGCAGAGCTCACCAGGGGTATATACTCCACATTTAGACTCCTACTTCGTGATAGTCTTAAAAAACCATCTTAAGTACTGTCTTCTATGTTTTTTTTTTTTTTAATAAAGAAATCCATCCTAATCACTGGAGCTCCCCTTCTCATCTCCCCATTTTTTTTTTCAAACAAAAGTTTGCCATTTCTGAGTTACCTGTTTTTACCTTGAAAGGCAGCTGCAGGGGTGGTTTCTACTCTAGTGAACTATAATGTAAAATCAGCTTTATTTTTTTGTGAACCACTCACATGAGATGATTTTGTTTCTCCCAAGTCAGCCAACTTCTATTCTCTCAGCCTTAGTCCAGAAATCCCGGACCCAATGGACTTCAAGTCTTGCCTACCTTTTTGCCACTAGCTGAAATCAAATGAGTAGGTAGTATACACATATCCTGTTAACTTTTATAAAAGGAAAATAAAACCTAAAAACCAGGGGTTTTGGTAAGACATGGAAAAGGCAGAGAAAATTAACAACCAAAAAAAGAAAGAAAGAAAGAAAGAAAAAGAACATAGTGGGTGATTGTGACCCCTGAAGGGAGATGCAGACCTACCTGGTTTTACTTGCAAAACTGTTCCCTGCCCAAAGGTAAGTTTTCCTGTAGTGCTAGAGCTACACTCTAATGCTGCACTTTACAAAAACTTTAAATGATCAGTTCCTCCTCTCCTTTCATCCAGCAACTTGATAATAACTAACACTGAAGACTTACTATGTGCCAAGAAGACTCCTATGCAGAACCCTTTGTAGGCAATGACGCTTTAAACCTCGTAACAATGCAGGGAGTTAGGTACTATCATCATCCCCAATTTGCAGTGAAAAAAATGAGGCATAAAGAGACACTGTAACCTGTCCAAGATCACACATGTAGTCAGTAGCAGAGTTGAGGTTTGCCTATGTAGTTTGATTCCGAAATTCATGTTTTTAACCACTATGCTATACCTTTCATTAGCCTTCTTTTTCTAGTTTGGGGTCCCCTTTAAACCAGTAACTGATAAAATAGTTAAACCATTGACCCCCAAAATATGCACCTTGAGCTGGTTCTCCTGAAAGGCTTAATTTCATTAAACTTATTAAACTGCCTCAATATTTATATCCAGTCTCTTCATATTGGCACTGCCACCGACATCTCTCATTTTTCTTGCAACACATGTCTTACATTTAGAGCTGCAAAGGTAAGGGTGACCTTCTCCCTGGAGAGTCTCATCAGGTTAACACTCGCAAACTCATTTAGGAATTCATTATCACCTGTATCAAAGATGCCTTTCCTGAAGCCCCTAGGCTCCACTGCAACCCTCCTTTTCCTTTCCCAGTTCTGACCAACCTGGATGGAGCTCCAGGGCTATCCTGGGTTTGGGTGGGGGTTTAGGGGGGCACCAGCGAAAGCCTACTGAGCAAACACTACTGAGAACACAGCTTGCCTGTCAGAACAGGCTATGTGGTCTCTAAGATGTTCCTGAAGTTTCTTGGAGAGAAGAACTTGTTAGGGGAGGCCAGGAATAGGAGGAAAGAGCTGCTCTCCTGTTCTCTCTAGCATATCCACTGGCGGACTGTAAACCAAAGCAGACAGAGATTCAGGGTTTCTACCTACTCTGCAAAATAACGACCTAATACTCCAAAAGCCCTCCTACCAGGCAGGGTGATGGCAAGGTAGGCAAGGACTCAGCTTTGCCCAAGTTGGACAGGAGAAAACAC